ATAAATTTATCTACTAATAAAGGGATAGAGTCTTGGCGCTTTTTGCATGTGAAACCCTGGTCTTGTCGCCCTTTTGCAACCCCGATTGAATAATTTTAAGGTTGCCGAAACATGGGTTTATCTCCGCAGACCCCAAGCTTTTCGTTTGTGACAGGTGGGCATAGTTCTGAAGCTCGCACGGGTATTTCTTTATATTCATTGGGCAACCGGGGAATGAAATTCAACTACTTGAAGTCCGCTACATTTTGTGTCGTACGCGTGCACTAGCGGCGATCTCTTTCTCTAGCCCTGCACAAAGCCCACGAATAGTGGGAGAAAACGAAAGCATGGAGGGACATTACAAGGTTCTCAAACCATACAATGGCACAACTTTATTGGCTGTTAGCAGGCTGGCTATGTTATTGAATAAGATAGTAATGCTCGTCTATTAAGTTATGTAACATAGCTGAAACACAGGCAACATCGGCGAACTTGAAGCCCTTTCAGTAGGCTCGGGAGGGGCGCAATAAAGCCCCCCGGAGAACAAAAACTCAATGCTTTGGAGACCGCCAAGAGGCTGCAGGCGTCACGAGGGAGGCAATCCTAGCCCGAAACGAGTAGCTGGTGGAGGAGGGTGAGGTAGTAGATGAGCTAAAGCTTTGTTGATAATTTATCCAATGGATATTCTGCTGTTTGTCCCTCATAAAAACGAGGATAAAGAGCTTAAGGAAGGGCTTGTTGAAGGGGCAATGGGGTACACAATCATTGCTGACAGAACACCAATGTCAAGCAGGGATTCGGAAAAGTGGTAGCGATGCAATGAGGCCAAGTAGGGGTGACTGTTGTTTGAATGTACGGAGTACAGTACCGTATACTTCATAAGTGGGGCGGAAGTTCAATTACAATAAGGCGGGAATTGGATGGATATAGTCTTCAACATACGAAGATGCAGAAGTTCCCAAATTGGCAGCGTGCTCTATGATAGTGTATCCGAGACCACCAGTATCATACCAGTGGTGGATGTTAAGTTTGCGAGAGGATCCACCTCTCCCCGACTAAAAACAACTTAGCGAATCTTCGTGGGGGCTAACTGCCATGCGACCTCGGGTGACTTCTGGATTCATGGCGCACCAGTCCGTATTGCACTGCTGCAGGCTCACATTTTCTCTACTATGCCGGCGGACACCTGATCCAACCGCACGATCACGCAAACTACGATACTGTACTCGAGCAAATTACGTGCTCTAGCCTTATTGCTTAGTACAGTACCGGTACCCTATTCACCATATTAATTGAACCTCGCTCGCTGCCTCGGACGTCCAAGATTCTATCTTCAATAGAGCTGAGTGGGGTGTGTGGCCACATGGCATTTACCGGCCATTTACCGATACCACAAATTAAACACCGCATGCAAGCCGCCTTGTGCTACCCCCGATACCACCTATCCAATTCCCGTTGGGAGTTCCCACGGCTGGGGCGGCAGCGCTTCCGCGCGCAGAAAAAAGTCTGCTGGTTTTCATGAGCCTCGCGAAATTATGATTGATGCAATGAGGGAGTGGTATGTCCTCGATTTTCACTGTTTCATGCGCCGGCTGTGGTTTTCGAGGTACTGCCGGTGTCGGGGCAGGATTGCACGTTGGTTTAATCTTGCTGATGGGACAGCCTGCTGTTGGGGGACGGGGGTGCTGCGTCATATCATATCGGCGTAAGGAACCCACCGAGGAGGGGCCGAACTCTATTTTCTGTATCGGCATGGTTGGTTACATGAGGATGCTCAAATTTCTGCACTCAGCAGTTCCAACCGATAGAGGACTCAAACGTGTATTCTAGAATGCGCTGCAACTATTAGGTACTTGAGCTGTGCTCGCGGTCGCGGTATGCGGGAAAATCCTGTGCAGTCCGGAGGTTGTTGTCAGCTTATCATCTTATGTAGACTCTTCTGAGGCGTAAAAAGAAACGCACCAAATTCTGATTATTGTCCAAAGGCAACCAACTGCCACCACACTTCCCAGACGGTTATCCGAGGGAGCTGTCTATAGGGTTAGGGTACCGTATTCTTCACTTTTCCTGAGCTCCCCCGTTAGGCTGCTAGCTTGACTTCCGAGTTGCTCGGAGTGAACTTTCATCCTACTCACTGCCCCGGGACGCCGTCGCTCTAATCCCCATTCTGTACCCTTTTTCCAGATCTTTGGACTTCTTGGAAGTTGAATAGCCCGACCCGGAGCTGGGATTACATGCCAAAGCTACCTCAAGACTAGAGAATTATTCATCTCCATATTCAAGGTTGGGTCCTCGGCAACTCGTTCTTTGGTGCCATATCTCGTAGTAATGACATGTTTTAGCGCGAGCGAAACGATTTTGAACAGCCTCCGTTGGCGAGATCGCCCTCCTTTCCCATTTCAGATACCGGTACGATAGCGACATCTTATTGGTTACTGCCCTTCCCTTCCCAACCCTCGAAAACGGCTCCACAGTGAGCAGAAAACTAGAGCACAGGATGAATCGGTAGGCTCCCCTTCCGCCCAAGGTCTGCGATTTCAAAAATAATAAGCATGCGCCTAATATCCTTCCCAGAGGAATCCAGGGAGATATCGGGGGAGACTTCAGCGCAAACTCCGGGGATCGCAATGTTTTCGGCAGTAGTAATAACATGGCTTACCTGAACAATGCCGCTAATTACGGAACAATTAATCAAGGATGTGTGTTTGGAGCTGGGGGAAGAGGTATTGTCAGCTTTCCAGGGAGATTTCGTGCAATGTTCTGAAGCGCTATTAGTAGAACAAGCATCCAGGCCTTATCGCATAATCCCCTATTGCATAAATAGCAAGTTCACTGGCCGTGAGGATCTCATTGAATCGCTAAGGAGGTTATCTGAGCGTAAATTTACCGGGCACAACCGGATCGCGCTTCATGGACTAGGCGGTTCTAGGTATGTATCCATGATCACCATTTTAGGGGTCTACTAACCTCGCTTAGGAAAACCCAGATTGCCCTCGAATACCTCTATCGGCGCGCAAGCGAGAGCGAATGTGATGTTTTCTGGGTGCGCGGGAGTGGGCTACCAAAATTTAGCGAGGACTTTAGAGCGATAGCGCAACATGTTCGGATTCCGCCAGCCAGCGGTGAGCCAGACGAGGAGGGAATCCTGTTAAATATAAAGAGGTGGTTTGAAGGACAAGCCAGTGGCGATTGGGTGTTGGTTATTGACAATCCCGACAATGAGGAGGACTTTATGGGCAACAGCGGTCGTATTTCCAAATTTGTACCACAAGGGTCTCGGGGTACCTTGATACTCACCACCAGATCAGCCCAGGTTGTATTCCGGCAGAGTTGTGAAAGGATTGAGGTCGGAAAGATGCAGGAGAATGAAGCCCATGGATTGTTTTTGAAAGGTTTGGGTAACTGGAACAGTTCAAGTGATGGAGAAAAGGAGGCGATCACAATGATCCTGAACTCTATCCATCACATCCCACTGGCTATCATAGGCGCGGCAGCCTTCATGACAGAAACCCAGACTCCGCCTTCTACTTACTGGTCCATTTTTCGGGGAAGCGACGACGACGCCAAGAGACTTCTTTCACGGCCGTTTTGCGATATCCAACGAGAGACCGACATTACTGAGAGCACCCTCATTACGTACTTCATCACCTTTGACCGAATTACAATAGGGATGCCCCTAGCGGCGGATCTCTTGCGTTTAATCGCCTTCTTCGATCGTCAGAACATACCCGAAGAGCTATTGCGCCAAAGCGGTTTGGAAGGGATAGACGATCAAATCCAGTTTCATGAGGCAATTGGAAAACTATTGGGATTTTCGCTAGTTACGGCCATCACACATGAGGGAAAGACATTTTACGAGCTACATCGATTGGTGCAACTGTCTTTGCAAGTGTATTTACCAGCGGAAGAGTTAAGTCGATGGGGGGCCAATGCACTGAAAGTAGTTTCAAGAGTTTTCCGTCCGCATTTGACCACGTGGAAGGATGTCAGCTCTGCATACATCCCTCATGTACTTGCAGTAACCAACAATTCAACGGATCCCATTGCCGAAGAGCTTTGTTTTCGCCTAGGATGGTACTTTCATGATGTGGGTTCATACAATAACGCAGAAACTCAATTGCGTCGATGTATTGCACTTAGGGAGGAGAGCAAAGGGCGTGACTGGGATGAGGAGGGTCCAAGGAGAGTTCTATCCCTGGGTGCGATGTGCATACATCAAGGAAAGGGAAATGTAGCCGAGGACATGCTTCGGAGGTTATTAGAGCATATTGGGAAATCATTGGACCCAAATCATGTAATCGGCCAGGTCGCTATTCGACACTTGGCGTGGGCGCTATCCAACCAAGGAAAGTACGAGGAATCGGAGAAGATGTATCGGCATATACTGGAGGGGACGAGAAGATTCATGGACCAGACCACCCAGACACCCTAACAAGTGTCGAGGGCCTGGCTGGGGCACTACTAGACCAAGGAAAGTACGACGAATCAGAGAAGATGCATCGGCTGGCACTGGAGGGGTGCGAGAGGATTCTTGGACCCGGCCACCCAGGCACCCTAAAAAGTGTCACCAACGTGGCTAGGGTGCTGCAATCCAAAGGAAAGTACGACGAATCAGAGAAGATGCATCGGCGTGCACTGTAACAAAAACTGACGCTGGAATCTGATCGTGTCTGTGAGAACTTGCTCTAGAAGGGAACAGGATTGAAACGAAGACTTTGATTTGAGAGAGATAAAGGAACTGACAACTTGCTACTACAACTAAGGTGGGTCATCACAGCCCTTAAGTGCAAAGTACTAATAGCAACTCTTCCAGGAGTCTGAACATACACGGGCATGTTTCCACCACTTCGCATACCTCCTTCTCTTCTTTTCTTCACCGATATTTCATTACCGGTCCTCCGGTCTTCTGTCCCATCGCTGCCTTTACCGATGTTCTTCCACATTCTCTCCGATCGCCCTCTTTACCGCTGCTTAGCGGTCATTTCTCCGGTTCTTGCTTCACCGCTATGGTATGCACATCTCTCCGCTTCTCTAAGACAACTAACTACCCCACATTCTATATCTATCATTATACAGTTCCTGACCGACAAGATATACCTCATAGAGAAAGAAAGAAATCACTACGGAATGAACTCCGGAGACTAGCTCCGGAGGAAGCACCAGTGATTAACAATACACTAGAGCCCTGCGAGGACATTCTTGGACCAGACCACCCAATCACCCTAACAAGTGTCAACAACCTGGCTGGGGTGCTGCAATCCCAAGGAAGGTACGACGAATCAGAGAAGATGTATCGGCGTTCACTGGAGGGGCGCGACGAGATCCTCGGACCAGATCATCCAAACACCCTATCAAGTGTCAAAATCCTGGCTACGGTCGTGCGGCTGCAAGGTAAGCGTGGCGATTCAGGTACGATAAGGCGGCGTCCACGGCAAGAACTTCCAGTAAACCTTGACAATATGCAGTCCCAATCCGCTGGCCTTGCCCCCCGTCGTTCCCAGAGGAACACAGTTCTCCGCCATTCACGTAGGGTCGCTGCCCGGCGCCAGGTCGGCAGGCCGGAAAAGTGATTCGCCGTTTCGGAGGCTGTTCGGCTGCACCAGCTGTATGGGTGGTGGGCTACTAGCTCCAACAGGCGGGGAGATTGTAGGAATATCCAAGGTAAAAGTGGTAGACTGTGTAGGACCAACTATAATGGCCAACTAGAGGTCAAGAGTCGCAAGTTTTTGCAGTGTGGTACGAGGGGGAAGTGTTGGGCATTTTGACGGCTTTTATATATATCTATTTTTCTTTATTACTTTTCTCTTTTACCGACATTAGTTCCTATGCCTTCCCACCCACTACGATAAATTCATTAATCAGTCCTGTTTTACTACCCAGAGCCATAAGAACTCACTCGTTTGTTATTGTTCAACGCTGTGTGCCCAACGCTGAAACATCACGCGAATTACTCACCACCCTCTCGTCCGCCTTGCTGGCATATTTCTTGTCAGCTTTCCTTCTACGGCGTTTTTGGCCCTGCATTCTAAGATAAAAACAGACCATGCAGTGCACCACCCCTCCCTCCGCTTCCGCAAAACGGCCTGATAACATATCCTCCCGCGCCCGTACGGGCTATAAACTCACAACCTCCTTCATCAAGGCGCACTACGGGCCACCCCAACACACTACAAATGTCAGAAATCTGGCTACAGCGCTGCTAGTATGCCAACCACAGCACGGTGAGTGAGCGATGGTGAGTTATTGCGTAGTGTATTGCGAAACACTAGCTCTCACTTGTTAGCTGCAATCGCACAGATATGATTCCTGCCTCCGGAATTCAGCACTTATTCATTTTATTTCTTGTGCTTATGGGGTGGAAATATTCAGGTTTAGTTTACCCAGAACTATGCAGCGCAGCTGCCCGAAATACCGCCGAAAAGAACCAGGAGAGGAGTTAGAAGTCCGGAAATGAGAGGTGTTGGGGAGGGGAAAGTGGGCACTGGAGGGGCACTAGACGTAGGGTGGGGAATCGTAATGGGAAGCGGGTGAGGGGTGGAACGGAGCGAAAATGGATAGAGGGGGGCGTGGACATGACAGCGGGGAGACGGGAAGGAAGGAGAAGAATACGAGGAAAGTAGGGATCCGGGAGCAGTTTCCGGAGGCAGCCAGGCTGACCCGCACATTGCTTATACATACACAGTCTGGCCAGGCCAGGTAAATGTGAGACTAGCCAGGGTGATACGGGAGCCTAGGCGCGCCGGCAGGCTTTCATAATACACTGTATATTTTTTGAATATTTTGTCAATGCAGAGCAGATATCCCGTCGCTACAAGAAAATATCCCCAGACTCCTTCAAATGTCTTGAAACACCTGCCTATATCTGCAAATACCCACGGAGATAATATTTCGAGCTACTTGCAAATTTTAGCCTTTACTATGCTCGGCACACTCTCACGATAGTTGGTTTTCTTGTTGGCATAGTTTCTGGGAGCGCGCTTCGGCCCCGGGTGCACGCCTGTGTACTATAGCTTCTGCGGGCTCAGTTTGGCCTCCCGCGAAAGCACTTCGGCCGCGGGAATGCGCGGTGGTCTTGGAGCAGTGCATCCGCCTGAAGGAAGGCGGAAACGCTTAAGTGGAAGCAGAAAGGCCCTGAGGAAGGCCGGGGCTGTGGGCAACGGGAGTTTTGTCCTACCTTTGCTAGCCTTTCTTGGTCAGTGTGTGGGGGACGCACCTGGAAGGTTAGGGCTACGTTGTTTTGAACGTCCCGATCGGCGAAGGGTATCGCGACAGCGAAGAGAGCGAACAAACGGTGAGCATTAAAAAACGGTGAGCAACCGGCGAAGCTAAGGCGCTGTTGGAAGATGTGGCTTCTCAGGATTCGGTTACTAGATGGTTACCGCATCAGATTTGTTTGGTATAGGGATCCCGAGCTGGAGGGTCTGAGTAGGTCCTATTGGGAAACTGGCTTGGATGTTATAGGACACGCTGTTCAAAGTGACTGCTAAACTCATGTAGTATATTAGTACTTCCTTCTTGCAGGAGATGGAATAGAATGACAAGTCTTTTCTCTACTCTGGAATGCAGTGATATTACAACAGGTTATGAGCCCGGTCAAGTGCTAATCCAATAGCCATGATGTCGAGTAACTATCTTGGCTCAAGCAGCAATACCAGTGGCACTATATCCAAAAATACCTACCTTTGCAAATATGGCCAAACACAAGTACTCCTTCCAACAAACTATCATTGATGGTCACAAGACCTTCAAGCATTCCTTGAAATCCAACAAGCATTCAAGATTGTCCAGCAGGAGGAACTGGAGCCTCCTGCTAATCCAGCTCCCCGCCATTCATCTTGGGAAGAACTCAGAGAGAAAGCCAGAGTCATGATCTTCACCTCCTGTGGTTTAGCCACTCGCCAGCCAATTACTCTCGCAATGGACCCTTGGGTTATGTGGTAAACCCTGCGAGCAAAGTATGATTCTACTGTATCTCGTACAGGACAATTTGCTCTTCGAGGAGGATTCAATTGACTCCTACTTTCATAGTTTCCCTTAGTTATTGCATTCCTTACATAGTTAACCAAGTTGTATCAACAACTCTCTGGCTCAACTGAGAAGGTCACTGACTCTACCTTTATTTCTAAACTGGTTCCTGATCTCCCGAACGAATATGATACGATCATACAAAGAATGTCACGTGATATAGATCTCACTGCTGATGACTTCATCACAGGGATTGTAGAACGTGAAGCTGAACTCACGAACAAGAAGAACCAAGTATCTGAATCTGGATCAGCGTGTAATGGGGGCTCCCTCAGGTAGATGGTTCCTAAGGATGCGACCGCACCAAACTTCGAATCTCTCGAACACAACTCTTGTAAAGTGTAAAGAAAAAAAGTAAACAGTAAAACTTAATATCGTTAAGCTCAGACTTATCTCAATTAAAGTCTCTTGAGAGGATGTTGATTGTGTCGAGGCAGGAGAGTTCTCGTATAAGCTTCAAGTAGTCAGACTTATACCAAAAACTCCCCCATCAGGTCGCCCCAACCAACATGAGCATACCCTTCTCCGTAAGGGTTGCCGGCACCATTACCGCATCCCCAAAGGGATGAAGGTGTCAGCGCACTATAGCAGAAGTCTCCCATATGCACGTCAGTTCCTGCGAGTTGTTTACCAATACACCTGCCGGAGCGAAAACCTCTGCGCATCGGTGTCTCGTCAGTGGCTTACTGTCGAGACTCCTAGGAAAGCTAACTAAATGACTCTCTTCCCATGTGCTATGACCTATGCAAGCACCCGTAGACATCAGGTGTCCTCCAGTTAAGCTCTATCTTTCTTGACTGCGAACTTACGGGGTCTACCACGCTCCCACGTAGAGCTGAGTCGGTGGCGGGACCCGTGGGCGCTACCCATGGTCCCTGACCTCCGACTCACCACTCAGCGTAATAAGTATCATGCTATTAGAGTCTTCCAACAACCCATAAAGAGCCTATGGCAAAGGGGCACGTGTAGGCATGATTGGCGTAAAACCTTCCCAGATGTCTCCGGCGCTATCCCGGACTACTCCGGGGACCCTTCCGGATAACTCATGCTAACTCCGTCAGGTTTGGTCCGTTTTACTCCGTTCCTTTTGGAGAAGGTACCTGACCCTCTCACCTTGGCCCCCTTATATATCCTGCGAACAGCTTCCGGTCGGACGGACGGCAGCGACGTATACAGTGTTATGGACATGTCTTCAATGATTCCATTTAACTAGTAAGACGGCAACTTCACCCATTTTGGCCCATGACGCCCGGGGCGAACCCTGGGGCCGCAGGTACCTGTTAGGAATAATTCTGCCAAGTTACAGCATGTTCAGAGCACTCTAGCTCCTCCCGTAGCCTTCTGATCGAGGTGCAAGCAAGTGCCCGTCGATCGTCATTGCGTAACAAACAATCCTAACATTACACGGAATCTTTCCGAGAACGTTTCCGACGCAAGGTAGGGTAATAGTATCCCAAAGGTAGGGTAAGTATGTCTATGGTAACACGAAACTAGTCTCCATGGCAGGGTAACGTGACTTACCTAGACAGGGTAAACTCACCCGGCCTTCCGGCCTATCCTTAGGCCGAAACTGATAAGGTCACGTTACTTCCACTACCTCGGTACACTTATATTTCAAGTACCTTCTGTTCTTCGGGATATCTGGACCATCGGATATCTCCCGGACATGCTCAGGCATGCCCGCCTAGTCTACCATATAACCTCTTGGCCTTATGTATGGGCGTAGACCTAGGTTGCCATAGCTCTATAACGTAGGGTCGTTACACAGCGGACTCTGCCAATAAAGCCCTACTGGCAAGAAATCCTACAAGTGCCCTTTTTACCAATACAGAAAGAGGAAATAAGTACTCACGGAGACCATATTCTGGTTTTGGTAGAGTACCACAAAGAAGAGGTAGAAGTAAAGCCCCATTTAGGGCGAGTTACAGTCGACAGGATGGTTCATGAAGGGACTGGGGCAGTGGAAATTGAAACAGTATTGAGTGCTGGTACTGTACTCAGAGAGGCCATACGCAAAAAGAATGCCATTTGAGCATGCGCACTGAAAGCCTCTGACGGAAGAGAGAGTCAACCACTAGTGCAACCTATGCCAGTGTGGATAATGAGGAACCACCTACCTTGGTGGCAATTGGAAGAGGAATGCGAGATACAGTAGGAATCTGGGTAGTGGACTCAGGAGCAAGTGATCATATCTGTCCTGACTGACATGCCTTTTATTATTTAAAGACTCTGAGTAGCCCAATTGCGATTATATTGGGAGATGGCAATCAAGTATTGGCTAAGGCAAAGGGTGTTGTTCGTCTGCTGCTATGCAAAGCACATTATATTGCTATCGAGGTACTCTACTCTCCTGCTATGAAGTTTTCACTACTCCCAATCTCCT